TCGTCGAGGTAGGCCATCTTCTGTTTCAACTCCGCGTCCCGCTTGTCCGGGTAGGGGAGTCCAACCATCACCACGCACCTACCAGAGCGCGCCACCCAAGCCGGAAAACCATCCCGGCGAAGGTGGGGAAGATTCCACGCGTGAGTGCAACAGCGTTCGTTGAAGGCGCGTTCGTTGAAGGGGGGGAAAGGATGATATTGCTGGGGGTGGGGGGGTGATCGTCTACAACGGGGCAGGTTGTCGTACATCAGCCTCGTCTCTTCTCCTTGAGCGGACACGAAGGAATTGAGCACAAGGTCGAGAGGCGGTTTCGACAGCCAAGCAACAACAAAATAACACCCCAGCAACACCAGTACCTAGCGAGATCGTCCGAAAAATTGATCCCCTCGCTCATCTTCGCCCCGACCACCGACAACAGCAGCCCCCCCCCGCTGCTGCTTCCGCCGCCGCCGCCGCCACAAGTTGTCGGCTTCCATGCCCCCGCCCTGGCGGCAAGGGAGAATTCTCTGAGAACGGCGTCCACGTCCTTGGCCGACCGGGGCTCAGAAAAGACCGACTTGAGCCTGCCAGGCGACATCCCGACAAATTCCAGCAATTCCAGCAAGGGAAAGCGTGTGTGTTGCGGGAGAGTGTTGGGCGTGTGTGTGCTGCGGACAATGCATGCAGGGATTATTTCGAACAGTGACGTCGCGCCCATGCGAAGACAGGAAGGGGGCACGCCATCGGGTATTCACTGACGAGGCTCGCAAGACACCATTGGCGAAGCTTTGTAAGGTGTTCGACCAAGCGTCCGCAGGTGGGGGGCATACCAAGATTGGCGTGGGATTGCGCATACCACCATCAGCCGACGCAGCAGTAAATCTGCGAGCGGCGGTGTAGACTCACTTGTTGAGCTGTCGGAGCGTGCCGGAAGCCCTCCATCTCTGTAAAACCTGTCCGACAACGACAAGAAGCGGGAGGTAGTCCGATGTTAGTCCATCAACAAGTTTGAGGGGGTATGCTCGCGTATGGCACGGCGTGGGGTTGCCACCTGGAGCTTCTTCGAGACTCATGCCAATTGGTATCTACTGCTTCGTTATCTGGGACGAGCACCTGAAGAAAGTTCCTCCCGCCGCAGCGGCCACGCCCGAAAAACCTGCCCCGAAGTATCACGCACCGAGCAGACACGATCAATCCTCCATCACACCGATGCCCTCATGATTCACAAGTGGCAACGTCAGGAAACGACAACACCACCACGTGTCAAACGATGCATGATTCTCAACTAATACATCTCCATTTCATTTCACCAGTCACTGTGTTGTTGGACGCGCTAGGTGTACAGCAAAACAAAACTGACCTGATCGAGATATCCGTAGGAGGCGAAGAAACACACCACGCCTCCAGGGACGAGTTTGCAAACGTTGGTCATGAGCCGACCGAGCTCGTCCAGCTGCTCGTCGGTGCCACGGCGGTGGAAGGTGAAGTTGAAAGTCTTCCCCGAGGGACCCCTGCGATGTTGGGAATCGCGAGAGGATTCGTTACGGCACACCCTTCGAGAGAGCTACAACTAAGTTACCGCAGGAGGGCGCCAACGGCATCGAAAACGTCAACTTCCCCTCCGCCTGCCAAACCACCAAAAACGTTCACCCCCCACACCCCCCCCCCCCCCCCCCCC